CTGCGTTCAGCGTTTGATTGTGGTGCAACCAAGTGCACTGACCCATACTACAGTTTCCTGATGTGTTCACAGCCACACTTTTACATTTAAGGTCACTCACAGTTTTAATATGCCATAAATAAACACTTTCCGTACACAGGTTGACGTTAGCCTACATATTATAAACTCTAAAAGGCTCATATCATGAAAAATCAAATTTTCCTTACTTTTTTGACATGAATTTGATGTGATTTGTTAAGATTTTAAAACGTACTAGTCCATACATATTCAGCCTACAGCACTTTAGCTCGGCCAATTCACAACGAAGTTCTAAGCGATTGTTTTTGCTCTAGATGCTTTTAGAATAAGGCCCAGTATAGAGCAGCCAATTGGAACAGAGATCATTTACATACATCAGTCTTAATAGCACAACAAAAGAAAAATGGCCTGTTCAGTCATACGGCATAAAGAAAGGCTGGACAGCTGTCCATGATGTAGAAATGAATTTTGACTGGTTCTTAGTCCCACACAATTGTGGGACCAAGAAAAATGAAGGATATGTTTTATGCAACATTGTCATCTGTGATACATTCAGAGTCTTTTTCCCAGAGTAGATATTAGTCCGAACCCAATGAGACCTGACTGCTCACATCGGGTTTCCAGAATATTCAGATTTCACATTCTCGTAGCCGCCTCCCACTTTTAACACAGTTCCCTGCATTCCCTCCAATTTAGTTTTTTTTAATTTAATTTAGTTTCTTTTTTACTTTTTCCCAACTTAAAACAGTTTTTAATCTGGCTCGCTTGAGTCACCCACTTGTGTTGTTGACAGAATTTAGCCTTTATGACAGATGATGCCTGTTGAAATAAGCATTTATAAGCATTTATGTAAGCTTATGTAGGTGTTTTATAGTCTTATGAACAGTACCTTACAAAGTGTCACTTAGGTGTGCCATCTGAGGAGTTACGGCATGTGCATGTCCATGTTGACCAGTGAAATGTGTCAGCATGTAGAATCAGAGTTTTCTGTGTTATCCCTGTGTAAAAATATATTACTTGTTTTGTTCAGTCAGAGTAACAATAGATGATTACTGATGTGTGTGATCTTCGTTCAACAAGGTAGTTTGATAGTTTGAACATGTTCTTTACACATTAAATAAATGCAACAGCATTTAGAAGGTATGAGATTACCAGAGAAGAACATATTAAATGGCAGAAATAGGCACATTTTGGCTTTAGCCTTGAAGGGTTAAACAAATGAAGGCTAGCGTCTTTCTACACAGCATCGCACAGCAGAAGAAAAGCACATTATGCAACATTTATCCAAAATACTTGTTGTTTTCTAGATCATTGCTTGTTGAATAAATTTGCTAAAGAAGAATTTAAACGTACTATAAGGCCCGAAACATACTTGCAAGGACGTGAACACACTTACTTCGTGCTACACAGACAGGGTTTTGTGCGTAGTTGCGTTCAAAATTGTTTTATGATGCATTTCACAACGCAGTGCAAGCACGAGCTGCATTCTGAGCACTACAGCAAGGGGTGCTATGATGAGAGCCAAGCTTGTCCAAGCAGTCACGCTCTGCATTTGCGACACTTGCGTGGAGTATGTTTCTGGCTTAATGCTTACAAAGTTAATTTTATTATATGACAGCTTGTAGATATGCAGTTATAATTTCACCGGCACTGTCATTAGAAGCATTGTTTTATTCAGCACTTTAGGTGATGATGGCCCTAAAGTTAGTGATTATGACGGACAAATTTTTTATTGGTTTTGTTAAATTATTCATTAACAGTTTGCAGTAGAGCTGTGATCACAAGGTTACATGACACTACATAAGTCCTTCATGACAGCTGACAGACCTACATAAACATTAATAGACACTTATTCTAAGAGATGTCATTTGCCTACTTTGAAGTCAACATGTATGTCAGTTGTCTGATTATTTTCTGACATTAGGTTTTTGTGACACTTTCTAGTGAAATGAGACAAATGAGACTTTTTTAGCTCAGTGTATGTCACAGCAGCACAATGCTGATAATATGACATAGCTCCCTATTAGCCACCACAGGCTGGGTGAGCTTTCTCTGTGGCCCTTAGTTAAAGTGAGTTTCATTTTACCATTTATGTCACTGTGATATACACTAAGCTACAAAGTCACCTGTTATATTGTGATATCATTTCACCCAAAAGTGTCATGACAAATAAACGATAGGAAAAACATCACGTGACCTAGGTGTTAAGTCAGCTTGACATCCTTTATGATGGATGACGGCAACTAAAGTATGCTTTTATAAATGTTTACGTAGGTTTAAATCATCGTGATGAGCTTATGTTGATATCATGTAGCTGTGCAGTTGCCGCCCCACAGTAACGTGTTACCAATTATTCTTTACGTATTAAAATAAATGCAGCAACAGCATTGAGAAATCTTGTCATTAAAGGAGAAGAGTAGACTAAAAGGCACAAATAGCCTTTTATTGAAAAGATTGAAAAGACAAATTGAAAAGACAGCTAATTAGTGCAATAGAGTTTTACCACAAGTATCAATTTGATCTATGTTAAAACCTTACTTGGTTTTAGAAATCCTTGCCCCTGTTTGTGTGCCCTTAGGCCTGTTATTATGGACCTTGGAACACTTGGGCCTCAAGAAGCTTCCCAGAAAATCTTCCCTTAATTATAATAACTCAATTGGCCAGAGAACATCCTGTTGTGCTTGCAGCAATTTTTACCCATTTCCCTTTGACTTTCCGTGGCCAAAACATATAATTCTGCATCAAGTGCAAAGAGATCAAATGCTGTCATTTAAAGAGCATCCTAGATGTTACTCAGAAGGGTCAGATTATTACGGGAGCAGGACGATCTGTGACATTAAAATGAAAATGGAGGCAGAAAATCATTCCTGATGGCAAGCTGCTCTTATTTTTCGTAATTCTGTCTCATTTTTGCAAAATATAACTTCATCCCCTTCATCCCCATTTCACACAGGCAGATGGCTGTCAAACACTTGATCTCTCAACCTTTAACAGATTGATATGCCCAGCACATTTTAGATGAGACCTGGTTAAATCTCATGGACAGCTCTTATATCGGAAGGTCTGGCTGCTTTAACTCCTTAAAGCCCAGGCTTATTCAGTTATTAATTTTACTAATTGTATTATTCAGGAACTTTTACAAAACTAATTTGTGTGTTATGTAGTTATGATGTAGTTATTATCCACATATTGTCCTTTTATGGCTTAAGGGATTAGCTTTGAGGCTAAAGTTGTTGCTGTATGTTCAACTGTATATGTAATAATAGATTTAACTACATAATGAAGTACATTTAATTTGCATTCTGTTCAAGTCTGCACTTCTAACTGCTCAGTGTCAAACAAGGACACAAATGTGACTGATGGTTTTTCATTTTGCATAAAAAGTGCACACAACAGTAACTTTTCATAAAATCCAGATCATAATAAAATAACCCATTCAACCTCCTTCTGTGTTTTTTTTTTTGTTCATTTTCCCAGCTATGTGTATTAGCTTTATTGTTATTTGTTGTCACACTCTGAATATTGATCTTTTCTTGGTGGGTTTTGGGTTCTGTTCTCCTGTTCCTTATCTTTGCTGCCAAGGTCTTTGTCAGTTTTAAATGAAAGAGTTCTGAGATATTGTTCTCAGGCTTATTGTGGCAACAGTCTGAGTTATTCTTAAGTTACATGAGCGTGAAAGGGAAGCCTGGACCTGCTGGCGGCTTCTGGTCATTTAAGCGTTTAATCTTTGAATTTTTTGAAGGCTAGAGTCATTGCTTTTGTTGTGCTGTACTATTCAGCTCTAAGTGTGATTACATAATTCATTACATAATGAATTACATTTACATTCATTTGCATTCTGTACCGACTACTTCAAGTTTGCACTTTGTTCAATGTCAGACAGTAACAAGTGTGACAGTGTTTTTTCTTTTTGAAAAATAAGGCTGCGCACACAACAATAACTTTCATCAAGTTCAAATCATAATAAAACAACCCATTCAGCTCCCCAAGCATATATTTCTTTCTTTCTGCTTTTTCCTCTTCATTCTCCTGGGTATGTGTATTAGCTTTATCGTTATTGGCTATTACAGCGAATGTTTGATCTTTTCTCTGTGGGTTTTTGGTTCTATTCTCCTATTGCTCATTTCTGCTGTCAGTTCTTGTTCTCAGGCTTATTATATCCTTATTATTCAGTAAGTACAACGGAAACAATGCAGATGCCCAAGTTATTCTTGAGTTATATGAGCGTAAAGGCCAGAATTATTACTTTTTGTGCAGTATACTGTTCAAATGTTAATGTAATTACATACGTAATTGTAAGGAATTACATATGCATCCGCACTTCTGGCTTTATCAATGTTAAAAATTACAAATATACAAATATTTTCTTTTTGCAAAACAAGACTGTATACACAACAAACATTATCATATTTAAATTCATCATAAAATATCTCCATGTAGGTACAAACAAAAATGTGAAATGAAAATTTTGAATCTGCTCTTTCAGCAGACTGTATCTGGATGTATCTCAATGAGCCATGAGTGAGAAATAATTCATGAGCGTTACAACTTCCTTGTGTTAAAGGTTAAGCTACAGATCATTCAGTTGTATGGTTTTCATGTAAATATGGGATTCTAAGATTCTTTCACAGATTAGATTTTGCAATGAAAATATTAAAAAAGTCCAGTTTTGAGCACTTTCAAGGCCTATTTTCCCCAAAAGTCAGTACATTTTAAAGGATTTACAGTGGGATTCTGACAACAAACTCATTCTTGTGGAACAAAGTGATTAACACAGGCCCATCTGGATGAGCACTGTTCACAGCATGTTTTGTTATTTTGTGAATCGAGGGGCATTTAGGTCATTGTATTCACATGGCTACACACCAATCCACAGTATGCAAACAGATATTGTGCGGGTTTGTTTTGGCTCCTGAAATTCCTGAAGATATCCGCACACATGCTTTATATAACATAAGGCAGTAAATAAAAACCTTTCCAACTGACCAGATTTTGAATATTTATTTAATACATAATCTAAACATACATTTTTCCGTTTGTCTTTAGCAAACGTTTCGGGTACTGCAAAGAGGCAAGAGAGAATTCTGAAGTAAAATGGTGACGTTGCGATAAGATTTGGTGTAAAATAACTACAGACACACCCATCGCAAAAAGAACACAGAATTGTTTCGCTACAGACGACAACACCGTGAGATCGTTAACTTCAGATGCAATGGCACTGATATCACATACTATGAAGATTTGCAAAAAACATTGCTTCGAATGGGTGTCCTTTTAGAATCGTGACAGGAAGGCTGCAGTTTGTCTTTGCCACATTAGATTTTTTTTTTGCAACTCAGAAAATAAAGCGGTATACCGTTTAATATCATTTGTAGGGAGCTGATATTTCCCCCACAAACGTTCACTTGCCTTCAGCGTCTCGCAGACAGGCTCCATGTAAGAAATAAACTGACCATAAAGCGTGGGATTAAGTGTTGCACTAGTGGTCACACTGAACAATATTTATGCCCTCTTATGGTTGAGTGTTTAGAAAGTCTATGCTACCAACCAACCACTGGGTTGAAAGAAGAAACAAAAAAACAACCATATAAAGAAAACAAAAATAAGTTAAGTCGACAAGTATATAAATTTACAGTATGTACAGTCACATACAATTAAAATATACCTATATTTTAGTATTCTAAAGATGTTTCCCACTCAAGAACTCTTCACTGACAAACCAAAATCGCCCATTGTAAAAAGAAGAAAAGTAAACGAAGATAATAACGAGATAAAAGAACCCAAATTTAGTAAGGCTTTTTTCCGAGCTCGAAAAAAACAACAAAATCAGAAAAAAAAATGTTGAAAGATCTATCGACAGCGCTGAACACGACAGGCACCCATACCTTCCAAAATTAAACTAAATAAATAAAAATATATTCATATATGTATATATACGTTTATAAAATGAAACACTGGAAAGCTTTGTTCATTAGACACATAGTTGCCATGGCAAAGGCAACATTTCCTTTACACAATGTTGTTGTCTTTTTGTTCATCAGTTTTTAGGAAAATGTTTATCTTCATAGAATTCTGTACACTATATACTGTACGAGTAAACAAAATGTAAAAGTACTTGTTTTTAAATATTTTTTTGTCTTTTTTATTCCAGTGTATTGAAAAAGGTGTTGCAGGCACTTAAGTCCATCCCCAGCGTGTAGGTGATTTTACAGTGGAGTAGTAAGGTTAGGGGCTGTTTGGTTATTCCTGGATTGCGTTGGCCTCTGGCGAGAATAAAACGCACCAGCGTTAGCCGAGGATGTCCAAGTAGACAGGTGTGGCTTTGCCCAAAGCATAAAGGACTTTCTGAATGTCTTTGATGTTCAGTCGCTGCTGCGGCTCTCTCTGCCAGCAGCCCAGCATGAGGTCGTAAACTTCCTTGGGACAAAGGCGGGGCCGGTCCAAAACCCGGCCCTGTGTAATGCACTCGATGACCTGTAGGATAAGGAGTCATAAATGACAAAATTAAGTAATGCACATAAAACTACTACTGCTATATACCAGAGATTAGAAAAGGGACAGAGCTTTTTCACAGAACGTAACAGAAAACTTTAGCTATTATAAAGCATGCTTAACCTGTTAATAACATTATTATTTATACTAATTTTCATACAATAAGGCTTTGTTCACACAGCAGGCAGAAGTGGCCCAAATCTGATCTTTTTCTTCATATGTGACACAGATGTGTGAACAGCAAAAAACACACTGAATCTGACATTTTCAAATTAGATTTGAGACGCTGTCATATGCGGTGCTGAAATCTGATACGTATCCGATATGCAACTCAATTCAGCTCCACATTCGTCATAATTTCACGCTGCAGACCTCAAACAATTGGGGTGATGTTTCTGTTCAAAAAATTAGAAGACACTTATCAAAACCTTGCGTGTTTGAAGAGATTTCGAAAGAAACTGTCGAACATGGACGTAGGAGAGCGAGGCTGCTGAAAAGTTGAAAGTCTGAAAGCAAAGTTTACAGAATCCGAGGACACGAACAAAAGAATTGACTGTGCCCTTTTTACGGTGAGCTCGGACACATTGTGGGTGATGAGCCCAGCTGTCAGTCAATGAAGCTTCATGATGGCTCCTGTGATGCTTGTAAAAATGAAACTGAACCGTTCGTGGCAGTCATGATTGTTTACCTCTGGATGAGCCACGTGAAGCAACGTGAAGCACTGTTTTTCTGCGTATGCGGGTTGCTTTAGGAGCTGATCTGTTCTGACTAATGTGTCACATAATCACAATAAAGATAATGTGAACAGCCAAACAAAAAAAAAATCTGCTTTTGTGAGAAAATCAGATTTGGGCCACTTTTACCTGCTGTGTGAACATAGCCTAAAGGACCAGATGCAGTTACCAGTGTTCTGCCTATTGGGCCAATTTAAGTCAACATGAATGGGAAATCATAGTGCATTCCTTCCATATTGTGCATATTTCTGACTGAAACACAGTATCATGGAGGGTTTTTTTTGTTGAACATTCTTTCTGAAAAGTTTGGTGGATGAAAGTAAATTTTGATGGAAGATTACAGGAAAACAAGAATTGTATCTTGCAGCATTTTTCCTCAGCCCCCCTGGTGGCCAACCCTCTGCTAAAATGGCTCTATATTTTAATTAATAAAGTCAAATAAAAAAATTAAATATATATTTTTATATTTATTTTATCTGTTATCAGATTAACTAGGACATTCTCAGCTCTCTTTGTGTGAAATGCCATGAGTCTGTGTTGAGCTGCTAGCAAGCAATGAGGCGTGAAAGGGGAGCGGTGAGGACCCCCGGCTGTAAAACACAACTGCAGCTTTCTTCATATCTAACAATTGAGTACAAAAACTAATGTACAAAAATAAATGTTGACTTGCTTGTTCATTTACAAAGACAAAATCCCGGTTTTGTAAATCATACACATTTCCATCTAAATATGTGCAAAGTTGTTGTAGAAAAAAATGCATAGTTCAACTGAGGGAGCTCCAAAACATACAGAAACGGTGTTTTATGGCTGTTGTCAAAAGGAGTTCAATAATATGGAATGGAAAAACTAACTAGTTAAATATTTTTTTTCAATTACGTCCAGTGAAGAGTATTTCCTTTTTTGCTTTTTCTAATATATTGACAGGTTTAGCTCTGCAGTTAAGCACATCTATCTTTGCACAATTGCACATTAAATGTCTCAGAGCTCAGAGCAGACGAGACAGCTCTGTGACAGCCGTTGGCTACCTTAACTCGTTACCGCCTTGGAGATCACACTCGGGTTCTAAAAATGCACTCCTGTGAATTTCTCCCGTACCTCGTTATTGGACAGCTGAAACCACGGCTGTTTCCCGTAGGTGAAGATCTCCCACATTATAACACCGAAGCTCCACACGTCACTCTCTGTGCTGAACTTCCTGTACATGATGCTCTCGGGAGGCATCCAGCGAATGGGCAGCATGGTGTGGCCGCCCACCTGAAGGAGGAGAGATTACACACCAGAATTACTCACAGAACACACGTCAGTCTCTGGAACAGCATGTGCGCTTGTTGACTTGGAGTCCCTGTTTGTGTAAACAGCAAATGCTGCCTGACAAAACACGCTTAACGCTTAGAACTCACAATTAACAAAAAAACGGCGCTAACCCAAGTATGTTGTAATTTGATATTAAAGGCCCATATTATGAGGTTCTGATATGATATTTGTGTGGGTTTATGTAATAACACACACACACACACACACACACACACACACACACACACACACACATCTTCTAAGCCGCTTATCCTTCTGGGTCGCGGAGGGAGCTGAAGCCTATCCCAGCAGTCATTGGGTGGAAGGCAGGATACACCCCGGACAGGTCTATGTACTAACAGTCCTCATTCATTTTTACATGACTATTTTCCAACCTCTCTTTATCTTTTAGAATTAAATTGGCTGTTTTTGTTGCTGTGTCTTTAAGGATGATGTATGTAAATAAGCTCTGTTCTGATTGGCTGCCCTGTAACAATCTTCATTCAAAAAGTTGTCTTGGGTTGAAACACTCCTAATAACTTCAGTATGACTGGGCTGGCTTAATAGGTGGATACGTGTAAATGCATTGGTTTTTGTGACATCACAAAAACAGTGAATTCAAAATGTTTTTGCAGCTTAGTTTCAATATATGGACTGTATGAACTTGAAGTGAATGTTAATATATGAACTTTAATTATACTTTTCAACATACTTTAATTTTATAAAAGTGAGAAACTCTGTTTTCCATTCTATGAGCTCTATATTTATTTTTTCACTCTTAGCTCTTTGAAATAATTCCAAACTTTAAATCCATGCACCTTTGTGATTAAAGGTAGGAGATATTCTATCATTTGAATTTGCTGAAAAGTTTTTGTCACTTTCAACCAAAAATGAAAATGCAAACGTGAATAGACTTAAATGATAACATAATGAGTTTCATCACTGAAACCGAGGAAATTCGTTCAAACCAGCGTAAACGTTTGGCCCCTTTTATAACCTATTAAAGTGTCTGGTGTAATTTAGATGATAAAACCTAGCCTATTGATTAGTGAATGGAACACAGTTTTAAGTCATGAAGCTCGTCTCACTTTGTCTCTCTGTCTCCTTTTCTCTCTGTCCCTGTAAAATCCTCTGCTACGGGAGACAAATTGATTAAACAATAATGTATTCATCATGCTAACACTCTGCTTTCATTAGGCTGGATTATTCTCAAATCTATTTCCCATTCATGTCAATTGTACTTCATTCATCATATCTGTGACGGTGCAAAAAAGAGTCTACTGTGGACTGCTGGCTATTGATAGACTCTGTCCAGCTGGTTTTGTGTTTTAATAACGTATCTGGGAACTTTAGGTTACTGGAAGTTGATGCAGACTAAAATGTACAGTCACATCCGAAGTCTGTACATGAATGTTTTGTTGATTTTCTACATGAAAACAAGTTGACACATTCTCTACAGAGAACACACTTAAATATGGCATTTTTCTGCAAATTTTTGGTGCACAATTTTTATTTATTTGCTTAACATATTGGAAATATAAAATGCACCGTAGACCACATTTTATGTTTTATTTCTTGTTTCCAATATGTTCAATTCAGCAAATAAACAGAAATTGTGTATTAAAATGTAAAGACGTCTTACTTTTGTAGAGGATGTTAACATATTTTATAACAAAACGTAATTTAACCAGGTGCGCACAAACTTTTTCATATGCCTGTATCCCACTTTTTAAAGTTAAAACAAATATTTTTCCAGTGAATTAAAAATTTATGGACATAGACATCTAAGTAACTTTAGAGGCTCCTGAGTGCCCCCTCATCATCAGAATATCCTGAATTTGAACCCCATCAATGCCACAGCCATCCATAACTGGGAGCCCAGTAGAATAAAATGTCTGGTGGGACTGTGTGATGGAAAGTTGAGTAAATAAATTATATGTTGTTTACCCAAGATGGAGAACTTAAAATATGACTTTTGAGAACTTTTGACAAAATTAAGAAATTTGAGTTGGGTGAACTGAAGCTGAGTTAACTCAAGAAAAGCTGTGTATAAAATAAAGTTGAGATGATTTAATTTTTTACAGTGCAGATATGGGTCAATCACAAATCACCAGGGCATAAAAAATCTAAACTGAGCAATAAGGCTTGTAATGTGAACAGTACAATCCTTACTGATTTACACATAATAGAGCACAGTCAAAATATGCTAATGTAAGTGACATAACAGAATGCAGTGCTAACTTGCACATCTCTTGACATTAATAGGTGAAGGTGAAGCCAGCTCCAGCCAGCTCTAGTGTGCAGCTTCTCGCCAGATTAAACCAACTAATTGAGTTACGGTGAGTTTAAATGACCTGTCTTTGGCACACACACATGCTGGCCCCTCCGCACATGCAAATGACTCCAAATCCCTCTTTAAGGAGGGCGAATTAAAACTGGTTAAAGAGGCGCGCAAATGACACCGCTATCACCTTGGGTTTTGCGGCTGAGGCCAGAGCAATTAGCCAAGCTGGGTGGCAAATTAATAAGCCAGGAAAAAAACACAATATATATATATATATATGAAAATAATAAGCAGCATCTCACTAGCAATAACCCGCACGTTTTCATTTTGCATGGTCCTGGTGTGGTTTCGGGGGAGGGAAAGATGAGCTTTCTCTTTCACTGGTGTGTAAACTGGATTACAGGCCAGTCGGTGGCTCCATGGTGGAGGGAAAGATTGGATTAGTGGCATGGAAAGTGGTGCAGCATGGCAGGGGATGGATTACAGCCCCACAAGGGCTAGCTCACCAGGCATTTGTGCTTTTAGGAGCATGAGAAGCAGATTGGACCAGACCGATAAAGTGTTTTTTCTTTCTCAGAGTGGCCCAAGAACAATTAGCAAAGAATGACTCCGTACATCATTTCCACATGATTAAAACAACAGCCTCGTCAGGCTTTTCTTTTTACCACTCATTTCACAAAAAAGCCTGTCCGTGTTCAATTTAGTTCTTCTTCCAGATTACAAAACACAAACTCTGTTGTAGCTTCTAAAACAGAGATCATAGAAAATATACTTTGAAAAGTGCTGCATTGATTGTGTACATCATTTCCACATTAATAACATATTTAGGGCTGTCAAAATAATGAATTGTGCATTAATTTATTTGCACAGTTATGTGCAGTTAATCGCAAATAATCATTTCTCTCTCATTTGCTTAGGTGTGACCCTTAAGAAAGATTTGTTTCCATTTAAAAAGTAGCGCATTATAGCTATATGAGTGGACAAAATAAGCTCATCAGAATGCAGTTATTATGTTACATTACTTTTCTTGTGTGAATGCAACCTGAACATGAAAATTACAATTTCCACAGAAAGTAGTCATCGATGTGAGGGCAGCAGATGCTGCATGTTCCAACCAATGAGTTAATATATTTCTTATATATATTATATAGTGTTCTGCAAAAGTTAGAGACCGCCCTCCATTTATATAATTCCCAATGAAAACAGCCACACTAGCACAAGTTAGGTTCTTTTGTTCCAGTATTTAGTGTGTCCATGCTTTTCCTCTATTACAGCTTCCATTCTTTTCAGGAGACTTGCTTTCTGCTTTTCAAAGAAATTTGCAGATATTTTTCAACACCTGCAAAGTTTAGTTTTCAAGATCCAGGTAATCCTAAATACATTCAATGTAGTTGAGGTCTGAACTCTGGGGTGGTCAGTCCATCGTTCTTTTTTTGATTTTCAAATGTTCTTTGTTGTCTATTTCCTTTTCTCAGTGAGGCTTCTTGACAGCTACACATCCTTTCAGACCCATAGCACTGAGTTGTCTTCTCACAGTGGAAGGATGGACAGAATCAACTGTGGATGTTTTCAGATCTGTAGCCTCTCGCTCTTGTTCATATAACTTGGGGATTTTTGTTACAGTGGAGGCTCTCAAGAGGAACTGGAACTTTGCACTTTGCTGTTGTTAGTTTTCTGCTTGTTGATTTATCCATCATGTCTTCAGCATAGTTTTTTGAAGGTGGTTTAGGTCTCTTTTTAAAAGCTGCATTTGAATGAGAGGGCTAGCTTGTACAATCATGAATTCTATCATAGCAATGCATTGCGTCCTTCAGCCAGCACTTCTACAAATAGTTCAAAAGGTCAACCTAAGTAAATACATTAAGAGGGTGAAAAAAAATTTGTGGCATCAAAAATTTATGTTTATGCATTATTAACATGTTAACTGACATTTTGTGAATATATTTCATTAACAGAATCATTGCTGAAACTAAAATTTGAAACTGTACTGATGTAATTTATTACTTTGGAAATGACCATGATGCTGATTTGAGTGAGTTAAAATTACTGTATCACTTTTTTTTATTGTACTTTGTGTGATCCTTGTTTCATAGGCATAATAGAGTAGGCACAGAGGATTGTATTTTGTAACCTGGCAAACCAACATGTAGGCTCGATTTAGCTGATTTTTTTGCAATATGCGCAGGCTGACTGACACGGCGGACCCGCAAATTTTGCCTGCTTGCAGCTGGTTATCGACTTTTCCAGACAGCAGGGGCAGCCCCAAGCCTCCACCACAATGATCCAGCCGACAGTCGCTAAACTCAACTTGAACTGTCATTTTCTTCGGTCGCTGAGCCTGTGAATACACACTGTGGTAAAAACTCACAAGATGTCTGTGTGGGATTTTTTTTTTGAAAGGAAATGTTTTACTTCATTTTGGCAAGTTAAATAGTTATCAAAAGATCTCATGCACAGGATACTTGACAAGCTATTAGACGATAGGGAGTCAATGCGCCACTTTCAATAGCCTGACAAAAGCGTCTGGATTGGCTGGTGGTGAAAAGGCCGCTATCTCTCTTTCTCTCTCTCTCTCACTCACAATGGTGCGGTTCCTGCTGGCCAGACGCTGGAGCCCCAGAGGACGGGCAAACGTCAATATGACTAGCGGCGTGTGGATTGTGTGCTTGGCAGAACCCCTATTTATAATCACTCGACACAGTGAACGTGTCCAATGCGGTTATGATTTCCTAATCTCTCGGCTCTGTCAATATTGCAGCCTGTGCGTGTGTGTGTGTGTGTGCATGGGAAAGATGCTATCGGGTGCTCTTCCAGTTCCTGCTCTGGCCTAGACAGAGGCTTCCTTCACTTTCTATGGGCACAATATTCCACATGCACACAAACATATCATCACTGTTATATAAAAAAAAACATTGCAACATGCCTTTTAGATTTTGGCAACATTTCATGATAAGTGGACCAACACAGAAAGCCCAAAATAATTTACATTAAGATCTTCTTGTAGGTAATGTACATTAAATGGGAATTTTGCAGATTTTTCAAAATTTCCATATAATTCAGTCATTGAGAAGTCAGATTTCGAAGTGTTGATGTGAAATTGTTCACTGTAGACAAACTTACTCTCAGTGAAAGAAATCAGTGGTCTCAATGTCCACAACACAAAAATAGCCATTTTAGTTACTATTCAAAACAACCAGTTAACCTACAAATTTTTATATGTGATGTGGATGATGTTAAAATAGATGATGTTAATTTTGCCTTCCCACACCTGCATGTACCTCCAGGCTCTTATTGGATTTTAAAATAGATAAAAAAGTTATCACAAAGCTATTGTCAAACAGTATCTGTCATCAATCAGTGTGTTCATAACCAAGTCACTGTAAAAGCATTCTGCAAGGAAGCTTTTAGAGGCATTAAACTCTTCAGATGTCTGGTTCCCATCACTCTGAATGATTCTGACTGGGTTTCTCAAGAAAAGAGCATCTCACATCAAACCACTTTAAGACTTTAACATCTTGACAGTTTAATTATGCAGAGATCATTGGAAATCACCTTAAGAATGTTTTTCCTTCAGCAGTTAATCCAATTAATAAGAACTGTAGCGATACACACCCGATAATAGTCCATGCTATAGATGTCCCTGGACATGCCGAAGTCTCCAATCTTGACCAGTAGGCCGTTCCCCACCAGGCAGTTTCGTGTGGCCAGGTCGCGGTGCACAAAGTGTTGGGAGGAGAGATACACCATCCCAGCTGCAATCTGAGTGGCAACGTGCAACATCTGTGAAAGACCCAGCTCCCCACTGCTCTGCATCGGATGGCCGTCCACTAAGATTGTGGAATCTGGACCGTGGGCCCTGAAGAGATGAAGAACCGAACAGTAAGAGGAAGGTACTTATTATTTAATACAAACTGGCCAATGCTGAGCTTTCTGCAGTTTTTTTTCCCTATATGATGGCTGAGGCAAGGCAGATGTGTGTAAGAGACTTGTCCTAGATTACTGTGAAAGGTCACGCTATGCAAAAAAGCTGCCTTACAGTCGCTGCAAATGGTCCGGCATTTAATTCGTGAGCCGCATGTAAACGTGCCTTAACTCCGAAACGGCTCAATGCGAAGCGGAATCACAAGTTTTGTTTTCGTCTTTCACGCCAAACAGAAACCACCTGTTGTTTTGGCTTTGTGACTTTGCTGATTTGCCTGCCCCTTTTCCATTCTCGCTGAAAATAGCTTTCGGGCTGATTGCGGATGGATTTGCATAAGGCGGCTGCTTAAATGTGCTTCAGTGTAATTTCTGCCTCTCTGATAGTCCTGGCAAGGGAAACGCCCCCTCACCAATGTGTTGGAGAGCTAACAATCAAGCAGTCTCAGAGTTAGAGAAGCTATTTTGCATGTAAAACACACTCTGGCTTGTCTTGTGAGCTGGAAACCGAGCTGTCTTTAGGCCTGTTTAATTCTACACACGCCGTCTCTGCATAAGGCCTAATTGGAGTTGGCGACCAGCATCACGCAATTCTTTGATGATCACAAAAAACGTCCAGCCGTTGCTGCAGTTTGAAGACGAGTTTCGTCATTTGCTTTCTTGGAATGCTAACTCAGCTGAGCCGAAAGAAACCCCTCGTGTGAAAGGCTAAATGCAACCCAGGTCACAATGGAATTACCTAATCTCATATCACAGTGCTCTGCTGTAATCAGTTTGCTCTAAAAGAGCAGCCTCAATTTTTCCCCAGAGAAGTACAGCCAGTTTGAATTTTGTGACATTTACACAAAGGAATTAGCGCATACAGGAAGTGCAGTTTAAGACTGGAAGACGGCATATTTAAGACTGGAAAATTAGTCTGAAGAGGAGTGTAAACTATTATTACAGGGGTGAAACGGTTTTGATTCTTAAATGATTCAATGCATCATAACCTCACGTTTCCTCCTTTGATTTATTTTGGTACAAGTTAGGGATGTAAATGGTCAACTAATGAACTAGCAAATATACAATTGTTTGACCAATGCTAGCAGTTAAAAAAAAGTTAAATTTTAGTTTTATTTAATTTCCAATAAATTTGAATTTCCTATTTGAAAAGGCACGTGCATCATTCAAGATGAATTGAGGGCGAATGATGTGGAGGACGGCTGCTGCTTTCAAGAGCTACTGAGGTACGCTGAGCCAAATCTGCCCCAGTCATAGCATTTGTATGGCTTAATCTAACTTTACTTTTAATGTAAGTCAATGGAATTAGACTTTTTTCCAAGTGTTTTTGGGCCGTTTCTTTTGGTCCATTCTTTAAATTTACAAACAATGTAAAGGGCAACAGGCATTATCAAATTATGTCAAAAACTGAAAAATGAGTTCTTTTGCCGACAGCAGCGATGTAGTTGTTGGCTCCTCATGTAAGACATATTTGAGATGGTTCATATATTAAGTGCTACATTTCATGGTCCATACACAGAACACTTTAATATCTTGGCACATTAATACAGAATTCATTTGATACGAGAGCTTAGAATGTGGCTCAGCCAATCAGGTTTCAGAACTGGAATCTAATTTGCAGTCTGATAGATTGATTTGGTTAAAAAGTTAATTTAATTTCAGATAAATGATATTTCATCAGGCACATTTTCACTCAATTTGAGGACTGTTTTTGAATTACACATGTGTGGGTACAAGAGCTATAGCCTACAAATGTGTTTGGTAGATAACAGTTAGCCTTTATAGTCAGTCCTATGACAAAACAGCTTATAAGCTGCAAGCTACCAAATTTATGTTGATTGTTGTTTAAACTATTCATATGAAGTTTAAGCTCGTCCGAGTCAGGCCATATATGTTTGTTAACTAAATTTAAGTAAGCAGACTACATTATGTTTTTTTTTTTTTTTCAAAAAACCCTAAAGAGCCCTGAATTACACCTTTACACCCCTATGCAGTTACCTTACATTTAGTACTGCTATGTTGCACAGTATAACAGCCAGAGCAAACAATTAATTTATAAGCACATGGTGTGCTGTCTTCTTTACACATCCACTGTAGTCTGGCAAGCTGTCTCGTCCTGGTAACTTTCTCAGGATAGAAACAATCATCAAAATGCATATCTGGCAGGAGTGGCAGTGTGGCACCAAAGTGATAAACAGCAGTTTAGTACAGAAATACTGAAAGTTTCACTGGTAAGTTTCATTGCTGCACTGGCCAGGGTCAGTTTTTATAAAGCTGGGTGTCCTCTTACCTCAAAAACTTATTGAGATCTCCATGCTTCATGTACTCAAACACCATGATGAGGGGGTCACCGTCCACACACACGCCATAAAACTTGACGATGTGCTCGTGCTGGAGGTTAGTAAGTAGCTCGGCCTCTCTCTGGAAGTCCTTCCTAGCAGCCATGGTCGGATCTTTCAGAGTCTGCAAAAGCAAAACAGTTTGTTTAAAGTGATGAGAACAAAATAGAAAACAATTCTTTCCTAGTGAAAATCTGTCAGAAAAAATCTGATAAAATCTATTAGAATTGAGCTTCTGAGAGAACTGGCAGTAATTAGTGATAATACAATTTATATTTGCCTTCTGATTTCTGTTACAGTAAGAAACAAAGCTTAATGAGCGTTTATGTACATTTTTTAGGACATAGTGTTTTTCCTTTCAGCAGAGATGGTACAATATCACATTCTCTCCGATGCTGATACTGATATGGAATCCTAGAGCATTGGCCAAAACAATCCGATATTTGTTTAAAAACTACTAAGCTTTAAAATGAGCTTTTTAATTGACGCATTTCACTTGATCATTTAAAAGTAGGCTATCATTATTTTGTTAATTAAATTCTTTAAAAGGTTTCCTCAGTTATCTTTTTCCAGTAAAGTATTTTGCAATCTATGAAAAGCTCTGCATGACTTGCTGTAAGTCCATTTTTATTTTTTAATATCTCTGATTATTTGCTTAATCCTTTGCAATTTCTGCCTCTTTTGGAGGTCTCTCAGTTGAATTATGCATTTTTTCAGATGATGGAATATATTTAGATGGAAATGTTATTTATGTGCAAAACTGGAAGTGAACTGGATGTTTGTCTTCATCGTTGAACAAGCAAGTCAAGTTTTATTAAGTTTGTGTTTGCTACTTTTGTGCTGTCTGTTATTGTTTTCACAGCAGGGGGTTCTCACCCCTCCCCTTTCACCTCTCATTGCTCACTAGCAGCTCAACACATGGTCATCACACACACAGAGCCAACAGTGACTAGTTAACCTGATATCAGAGTTACAGGAAAAAATATTTTATTTGATTAAAAATAGTTGATTTGAGAGAAGTGACTCTGCAAAAAATTGATAGATTATTTTATTAATAATGTAATCAATATGACCAGACCTATATAACACCTCAAAATATTGCACTGTTTCAAATTTTTGCTAAGCATCTGAAGAATGTAAGTGGCCAAATCATGCCGTATAGTTGCATCTGTGAACATAATTGTTAATCTGTATTAACTAAAATAACATCCTCTAATAAATCTCACCAGCACAACAGACTCCATCACATACAAAATCAAAGATTCTGATCACACTGTCACAAACTTTTAGCTGATCCCCCCCGACAGCTCCAGATAAGGGAATGCTCATTTCCTCAGTGTACACTGCAACTCCTCCCATGCTCCATTAATCTGGCACCAGACAGTTCTTTCTGAAATATAATCTAATCAATTACAATATAATTACAAAATAACTGAACCTCAGCAGCACACGGAGTAATCTGACCGTCATTACGAAACTCCGAAGCTAATCTATCTGACACAAGTTAAGGAATGTTCAGATGGAGCGTGGTGTAAACGCCACAGATGGCTCACCGGCCCCCTGTCAAGGGATCTGTTCACTTCCTGTAGCTCAATGCCAAGTCCGTAACAGTCCTACTGCCCTGACTAGCAGACGCACCAGCAACTGCAGTGTGCTGTCTGTCTGGAGTAACGTTGTGAACTTTATTCAGTTTCATGTTTTTCTCATAGTAACCTGTTCCATGGTCTGCAGTCAGCAGGTGTGCAACAGCGTTCCTGTATACTAAGTCAGGAATCTGTGCTTTAAAAAGTAGGAGTGCATGATATATAAGCCATTAATAGTACTTTGCAATTGTAACTAAGCAAACTGATAATAGTAATTTTAGAATAAGTATAAAGAAACAGTGGAATAAAAATGATTAAGAATAAAAGTAGCTTATCTTATGAGCTAGTTAGAAGATTTGGTTCCAAAATTGATTTGTTAAACTTCAGCACCAGTGTAAAAGAGGCTGCATGCTGCCTTTATTGTTGGACACATTGTGGTATCTTCTGAGCGAGCATATGCACACATTCAGAAAAAATCTGGATTATTAATTTAATTATCAGTTTAATCAGAATACTTGCAAAAGGCGAGTAATAATGAATAATTATGGAAAATTGCGATAATTTAAATAACTTCTGATATTTGATTATGTATTATGTAATTATCTTTTGTTCTCTTTCATGTGCCACATGTCTTTAATGCATTGCTTCACCTTTATTTAAACATTCCCTTTGCACAATCATTCTTTTCTAGGGTTAGTTTAAGAAAATATGTAACTACATTCATACTTTAAATGCCAACTGGAAATATTAAAACATAGATTTTCAGTCTGGCAAGAAATGCTGGGGAATATGCAAATGAAAGAGAAACATGTACAAAAGTACTTGAAATCTTCTCTCCGACAGACAGTATTACCAGTTTGGCAATTTTGGTTCTCAACCAAATCCATCACAGGGAACCACTGGATTTTAACAGCTTTACGTGTTTTACAAGGTTAACTCTATAACACGTGGGAATTTGAACTGGATCTCAATTATATTGTCTCAAAAATTCTGCAGACAGTTATTGTTTGTCTAAATTTATATTACCGTTCAAGCTTAATTCCTGTTTATATTCTTGATAATCTGTAATATGTTCATGTTCTTTACAAATCAAATCAATGCAACAGTATAAAGACATTATTAACAGAGAAGAGTAGATTAATCTGCAGAAATAGCCGCTTGTTTGATCTGAGTTACACTGCATTTTATATATGGATTACAGTGAGGCAGGAAGTATAACTTATTTTAAAATGCAACAATATTGGTTACTACTATAACAAAGTTATAATTATGGTTATTGGTTTTTATCATTGGGCCAGAAATACCATATTGGTGCCTCTGAGGCTCCAGAGAGAATATCAGACCTGTCCATCGTGAGCTATCTAACAGGAGCATTCTGAGTTTATCTTTAATGGTAGAATGATTTTGATTTGCTCTATTGTGTTAAAATAGAAAGTTCAGATGCTGAGAGTGCAGTTTTAACACTAAATTTCATTATCAAGTCCTAAAACGTAGCTGCAAACTATATTATTGCTGGTGTAGCAAAACATTACCGGCAGTAAAACAGGATGTCTGGTTATATCACTTCAGTAATGGAGACGATCTGCCCTGAAGGCTTCATTTTGGTATTTATTTAAATTCACTGAATGCTCTACAAGACCCAGCAGTGATGCTTGAAGAGATACTGTAGAGTTGGAGAAAGACAACATGACCCCTAAAACACACAAAAATCAATATTACTAGCAGACCTGTCTGTCCTCTATAAAACAATGGCTAATGAACAACGCTGCATCCGGAAAAAGCCTTAAATAAAAGTTGCAGGCAAAAGTGTTCATATAGTTAACTGTACCAAGAAGAAGCTACTAAAAATGCTGCCTGTGAGTAACACTCTCACAATCTTTAACAATCCTGAATGGAGGGCAAAATGGCAACCCCTGCCTGACTATAGCATTAGCCGGAAAGGATGCATGTGAGTAAAGCCCGCGTGAGGCCCGGCCTGAAGCACTAAAGCCAGCAGGCGGTGCCTTTAATTGAAAAATCATTTCGCACCTTGACAGCTACCAGCATCTTATCCTTGGTAGGGCTGAGGTTGTAGCACTCTGCCAGGAAAACCTTTCCGAAAGCACCCTCACCCAGCTCACGCTTCAGAACAATGTCCCGCCGGTTCACGTGCTGGACGTCTGAGAGAGAGAGAGAGAGAGAGAGAGAGAGAGAGAGAGAGAGAGAGAGAGAGAGAGAGAGAGAGAGAGAGAGAGAGAGAGAGAGAGAGAGAGAGAGAGAGAGAGAGAGAGAGAGAGAGAGAGAGAGAGAGAGAGACGGAAAGAATATTTTAATGGAGCAGTATTGTCTTTTTTCAAGCTGACAAACAAAAACATAACCACTTTAACAAGAACAAGACATCCTCAAAATAGACCATAATGCCCAGAAAACATGCAGTATTTCAGCGGTGCTGACATCATTACCCTTTCTCTGGGCTGGCTAGGAAATTTCAAAGCCTACACCTCATGGTTCACAGCACTTCATTTGAAAATGTGAAGTGTGTATAATTGCTGTTATGCAAAGCTTCGGGGTAGTTATTTTTTGTCTTTTTTTAAAATAGGATCGCTTCTATAGCTCCCTTTTTCAAGAAAATACCCCAACACTACTCTCACAAATGCTAATCAGCCTCATAAAGGCAAAATGATGCTGAAGGAAACTGGCATCCAGACCAATTAGCCAGATAATCTAGTGATGAAAGAAATTCACCTGAGGATAGAATTAAATAAATGAGGGCTGTCAATTTGAGTATGAGTGTTTGGCTGTGTGGCTATGTGTTAAGTGTAGGTGGGAAAAATGATCGCGATTCTCTCTTAAAAGATTAGAAATCTATTCACAAATTGGCATAATCGGATTTTTAAATAGGCGCTGCATTTTCTCCATTGTAGCCCTGCCCGGTGACAGTTAAACAGGTTACCGTGGTAACAGCCCCAAGTGATGGTAAATCAATACCATATTTATTGTACTTAACGTAGACTATTCTAGAGACTAGTCTGCTGAGCTGGTTGAATGTGCTTGGTGTAAATGTTAGGACATCCTCAGACAGGGACAGGGAAAGGTGTTCTAAGTTGGGGTGCTGAAATTTTAAGCAGCATATACATGACAAACACAGTGATGTCATGCTTAAATACTGTGTTGCTTTTTATTTTTCCTTTTTTAATTTGAATTGTTTATAGAGAGACTCCAAAATACTGCTGTACATATAACTGACACCACAACCGCAGATACACACCCTGCTGTCTCTACTCTCTCTTGCTGGACGAACTTTATGCAAATGAGCTGAGCATCGACCAGTCAGACTGTTGATATATAATATATATATGATATATATATGGAAAATCGCTTGCGTCACGTCCATATTCAAGCAACATGAGGTTATTACAGTAGTTGAAAAAAATGCATGGGAAAGAAATACGTTGTTTGAAATTTTTATACATTTTTATGAAAGTTTTACAAACAATATCAGGCGCTTCAGGGCACAGAACTAGCCTACAACTCCTGCTTGTGTTGTAGCAATACGCCCAAAGCGACACGCATAATTACGTGACCAAAGTGGCCAACATTTTGCGAGGGAAGTGATTTACTTCACTCCAGTAGAGAGCTTTAACAGTGCGTGTTAAATATACATATATATATGTCAACGCTAGCCCCCTCCCCACCACAGGAACAAAACTGCAGGATCTCATTAATGCATGCATGGTTGCAGTCAAAAATTGATCACACATTTTGTTTATAAGTAAAAAGCCCAAAACATTGTAAACATAAGCAGGACTTGTGTACTTTAAAGACCGTTTAACAACCAGCTCAGGAGATGCTAACCAGCTTAAAGTTGAAAACTCCGGTGTGCCAAAGTGTGATACACTGTCTGTGGAAAATTCTCAGCATGTTCTGTACAGTTTTAGTGTCCCAATGGTTGAGATGAGTAAATAAATACAATAATTCACAGTTTCCCTCAGGCAACTCTAGATGAATTCCAAAGAGCCTCCACTATAAGAGAAAACTTCTAATTTTTTTTAAAGCATTTGGGCTGAACATGGCTTTGAAATGCACTCATTTACAAGAGCATGTGTTGCTGTCTGAAATTTTTCCAGTATGTAATGATTAGTATGCAAATCACTTTTGTGCGTGTCATTTAAAGAGAACATCCATAAATGCATGCGTTTTCAGTAACAATTTCCAAAACGAGAGGTGAAGGTTTTCAGATGTTACTCAGTATAATATTATTTAAAAAATGATTTTCATCACGTCATAACAGTTAATGTTAAACTAGCATGTTTCTGTAGCCTACATTATCATATAAAATTCAAGAATCATAACCCAGGCTACAGAAATCAAAAATGGAGATGCACCAAGAACTGTTTTATGAACCTGTTGGCTATCTGAATTGAAATCGAATGAGGTGCCTAGAGATTCCCACTGCCAGTATTTAGTTCTTTGGTGTTAGTCCCTGCAAGGACATGTTTGTTAACACAACATAATACAGCTTTTATTAAAATTTTATTTTAAAAAAGCCACAGATTACATTTCGGTTTCTGAGGTTAAGCTGCATTTAGCTACAGTCATAGAGAAGGACATTAAAACACTCCACAAAGACAGGAATACAAACTGTGTCGGTTTGTGTGAGTGTTTTTCACAGTGAGTGGAAGGTCAGCTCCGGTGCAGATGGTGCTCTAGAGCTGCCGTTCACTCTTACAGCTGGATGTGTTTTCCACATTCCACCTCGTTCTGAGCTCCCTCTTTCAAAACAGACACAAAAAACACCCAGACTATAATGCAAATGAGAGTCAATTGTATAAAGCCTCTTTTTGCCATCTGCGGGAAAGTCACCTGGGGCTGTTAATATTTTGGCATCGGTACTCACTGTCATTTTCATTATTTGTGTGGATATTAGCATGTCTCAAATAACAAAACAGTCCCAATGCATTCCACAGAAGCCTCTGGGTATAAATATGCTTCCCAAATAAGACTTTACTGATGGAGTAAAATGCATACAAAACAAATGTATAAGGTTGCCATGTGTATACCTTAGGTATTGTCACTTAATTTAACACCACTACAGCAGGACTGCCCAAAGTGTGGCCCACAGGCCAAAGTTGGCCCATGAGAACATTTCATTTTGGCCCGCCAGAACTTACTCCTCACCCAATGAGAGAACAAACCCATTTTTATTTACATTTTACATTCATGGCGTTTGGCAGACACTCTTATCCACAGCACCTTTGCAAAAAGCATACTTAAGTACACCAGTAGTGTACTTGAAGTAAATAAAGAATTCTAAAGGCCAATGTATTTTATGGGAATACATCTACAACATACTTTTCTGAATTTCTGAAAGTTTTTTGAAGTTTATTGTAACTCCCTTTAAATTTGAATAATGTATATTTACATGTCATCATCTTAAGTGTATTATTCAGAAGTATATATTAAAGCAATGATGAAGTATTCTTTAGTGCATTTTAGTTGCAGTTTATAACTCAATCTAACTAGCGATCAAATAGAAGTATCAGTCCAGCCGACCACAAACATTATAAAGACTAAACGCTTGGACACCCCTCCACCACACTAATACCAGACTGTCTAACATATTTTGCATGACATATTTACACAGCCTAAAGCAGTTTATCCACCCATTCACATTAATGTGATAAGTAGTGTTGTTACTGCAGAGAGTGTGTAGCAGTTTTTGGGGTTATGTCTACTACATTTTCATGTTTTCAACTTAATTCAAGGCCAGTTTTCCAAATGTTATGTAGTCTTGGAACCAAATTACATGGGCAGGTTAATACGTAGTATGTAGTATAAAGTACTGTGCAGTACAGTCAGCTAAGGTTAATGCTTATGCAGTTCATAAGAGTCCGCTATGAACTAGATTTCCACTACTGTCTAGTATTTCATATGTAGTCTGATGGTGTTTACTAAACTCCACTAGTGTTAAAAGAACTAAGAACTGATAGAAATACTTTCCTTTCCACTAGCAATGTGTGGTTTGCAGTAAAAACACAATTTGCACCTTGTCCATTTGGCTTTGTCTTAACTCTGACTTCTGCCCACAGTTCTGCTGCATAAGATAAACACAGTTAAGCGTTGAACAGCATCCAACAAGCTTTGTTACTGTTATTAGAAGCGTAAATCTGAAGCTTCACAATGATTGTGATTCTTTAGGAAACCATTCATTGAATCATAATCTAAAATTTCTGCATGATTTGGTTCCCTTTGTGCAATTCAGAATTATATTAACAATAAAAACAACACATCACACTGTACAAAAATGATTCAATTAGTAACCTTATTTTCTTCAAATTGAGTTTACAGAATAATAATGTTTTTAATTCTGTTTAGTAAAGTTTAAGGCAACCAGATTACTCACTTTTTAAAGTTAAAATATTCAATCATTTTTTATAATTTTTCATTTTAATTAGAAATTTGCCACAACATTTGTCTTTGAAAAAATTAGCACATACTTTATAGATTATTATTATAATTCACACTAACATTCTATAATCGATACAGCTGAATCACCCACTTCAGGCAGATGTATTTTTACACCACTGTTATCATCATTCAAACGCAGAGGGGTCAGGCCTCAGCTTCTGCCTCAAATAGCTCATTTATATTCACTTATTCCATCATTAAGTGGTCTGCTGGGTTTGTCCCATCCTATGAGAGAGCCATTACACGTGCACCTGTCGGCAGAGAGCTGGATGGGTTGCTTTAACCTTCAGCTTTCTCTTCGCTCTGCTGCCCCCCTACCCCCCACCCCCAATCCTCCACACACTGCAGCCTAGTTAACCTCAGCCTGTTGTGGAACACCTCTGGATTTGAAGGCAGCAGCACTGGGATCATACTAATGCAGTTAATGCCGGTGCTCACAAATGGTCTCAGGTGGCTCCACTGAGAAGTTAAAAATGATACAGTGTCTTCTTTGTGTTTATTTTCATAAAAACAAAAATGTCCTGACATTTCAGGTAAAACAGTACAAGCAGGGCTTGGCAATATATAGTGTTGTTGTGATAAATTATTTCACAATACAGTATGCTTTTCTCTCGCCCTCACACACACACACACACACACCCTTCTGGTTCCAGGAATGAGAACTGCCACCAGGTCACTTTCAATTTCAGTGTGTAACAATTTCTTCAAGTCT